TGTATGTATATATATATATATATGCCTATATGTAGGCCTATCTTAATAGGCAAAATAGAGTTTTTCAAACTACACTAGTCCTTCCTCAGTGAGGAGTGAGTGAGGAACAGAACGTCAGATAATATAAGGTGAGAAGTCATGCAAGCATGATTAGAAACAATATGCTAGGTGAGATAGGGCAGTGAATAGTGAATAAACAATATTGAATATATATATTTATATATATATACATATATATATGATGGGTTTTGTTGTTCCTTTTCTTTGTCTTTTCTTTATCTTTATTTATTTATTTGTTAACATCTTTAACCAGGAAGACACAATCATTTTATTTTAAGAAATGTTTTTTTTTTTCTTTTTTATTGTGGTCCTTATGTGTTTCTTTTATTCATCTTCTTTTGGACATTTGTTAAAAGATGGTGGGGTGGGGTGGGGGAGCAAATCGGATAGTTTTTGCATAATTCAATTCCGATAATAAAATGCCTGTCCATGAGGGTGTGATTGATTTGTAATGGGAAAGAGAGGATCAGATAGCATCTTATCGAGTGGTAACGTACTTACAATGGAAAAAGAACACATGTGTTATAGACCGGGTTGTAAAAGGTCTGGTGACAAGCGTCACTTTAAATCCATAAATAGTTGTGCTGGGAGGTTCACCCTCTAATATGGTTTTTTTTTTAAAGTCCAAATTGATCAGCTCTGGCTGGATGGACCACCGTCACAAAACATTGCTGAAATCAAATAACTAAATAAATAATACAGCATTGCACGTTGACCTGAGTACTAATACAGCACATAGATGCCTTGGCATGATGTGCTAAATGAGAATTGACTGTATTATTAATAATTTGCTCACTTACTATAAAATAGTTCAGTTACTCTCTATGACGTTTTCAGTTGTAGAATTATCCGGTTAGCCTACTAAGATCAGAAAGGCTAGAACCAATTGACGCCCAATCCAAGACTTAACGTCGTGACAGAAATGTGATTGATTTATATCACTTATTTGAACTATCAATCAGTAGGCATCAAAAAGGCCTAGATTGGCACAATATCTTCTATCCATAAGAATTGTGTAAGGTTACATTTTCTTGCTTCTGCAACAAAGGCGCATATTGTTTGACAGTTATTTAGGAAGTACATGTCAGGTTGAATGTGTATTTTCGTTCTTATTTTTCAGAGAAGCGTATAATATTATTGAGAGAAGAGTGATTTTTATTTCAATGATTTTAGATATCAACCAATGAGAAAAAAGACAGGCATCCGTTGCGCTTTTACGACAGCCTCTCGGGCGCGTCTGTGTGTTTGGGGCTGTCGGTCTGTCTGTGGTATGTGTGTCCTTCCGGGGGCATAACTCAGGAACTACTGGACAAATTTACTTCAAATGTTTGCACCTTGTAATAATAAATAATAATAATAAAACAGCATTTATATTGCGCCGTCTATCTAGCGAACTATTCCGAGACGCAGTGACTCTTGACGAAAAGAAAAAGGATTTACTAATTTTTATGTTTTTATATTGAATAGTTAAAAATCCAATACACAGAGACAAAATTTTGAAATTACCAAGTGAAAAGTATTGAATAATAAAGTTATAGTTGCAGTTATAAATAAATATATTTACTATCAAGATATTTAATTGCAATTATATACTTACTTTTCCATTTATCTCAATTTTATCCATTCTAACTATTCTATACTTGTCATTTTCGGACGTTCTCGAATTTGTTGCTGATCAAATGTAAAATGGAGATCTTAGAATGTTATTTATATATTTTCCGACCGACTGACAGAGACAATTCAGATGGATCGTTCGACCGAGTCGTTTGGCTAGGCACAGCCGACTCGAGTGTCAATGGTTGGCTGACTGGAAGCGGTCTCTTTCTCCTTTTTCAATTCTCATTCTTCTTCTCCTTCTTTTCCTTATCCTTCTCCTTCTTTTTCTTCTTCTTTTTCTTCTTCTTCTTCTTGTTCTTCTTCTTCTTGTTCTTCTTCTTCTTCCTCCTCTTCTTCTTCTTCTTCTTCTTCTTCTTCTTCTTCTTCTTCTTCTTCATCTTCCTCTTCCTCCTCCTCCTCCTCCTCTCCCCCCGACAATCCCCCCGACAATGGCTTCACCATGGACTCCACCGGTCTAGTGGGATGATTCAGCTTTCTACCTCTTTCTATCCCTCCCCCACAACAATATGGAATAATCGCTACTGTCTAACATCGTGTGCTTGTAGAAGTAGGCTACTAACATGTGCACATTCGTTACTTGATGATACATTCCTTCAGATATTGGTGTAATACTGTCGATGTTAGAAGCAGTTTGGGGCAGCGGTAACGGTTTGGTTTCCCAGCCTCGAGGTGATGGTTTCAATCCCTTGTTGTGCATTTCACCTGTGTCCTTGACAAAGGCACTTTATCTGCATTACTTCTCTTCCCCCAAGAGTATAAATGGGTGCCTGTTGGGGTTGTCTGCTCCTGCGCTGATTACCAGCATCAACACATAAAGCACATGGACCCAATGACCAGGGAAAAAAGTGCACATAAAAACCTCAAGGAAGAGGCGCATTTTTAATGCCTATACCAGTACCGGTTTTAAAACGGCAATATATAATTACTGTCTCTGTGTGGAAAGTGTTCAATAAAAGTTCAAATTATGCGTAAGCCTTCATGTACATATTTTATATATGTTTGTGTTGAAAAGGTAAATGTAGTAGAATAACCCATAACTTGCAGCGTCACTGTGCTGAATTGCGCATGGGCGTGGTACGTGACTACTTAGCAGCCGTAAATAAGAGTCTTTTCTTGGTAGATACATGTTCACATCATTTCACAACGACAGGGGCTGAAATGAATCAAAACATCGGGGTAACTCCCTACTCTTCCGAAAGATGCAATGGGTTCTTTAAAGTGCACACAAGCCAGATGTATACAATGGACCTACATTTTAAGTCCTTATCCGAGAAGACTCGGTTCTACCAATTGAACCATGGGGGAGGAGCGTCTGGAAACAGCGCCGATGTTAAGGCTGTAGCTATCGGCGCCCCTGCCTTACCGCTCGGCCAATCGACTCGTTAAAGTTAAATGCTATTGATTCTAATTTCAATCATCATAACAATTGAAACCACCAAACAGTAACATTAATTTTGAGCATCGTTATTGTTTATTTTACATTAAATTAGTTAACTTACAAAATAAAGTCATTACATAAGAAAGCCTACTTGACAATAAACTACAACTTATAATGGAATTAGCCTTGGGTTAATATACATGAGTGTATATGTATGTATCATACTTAGTGAAATATATTTAATAATAACATTAAAAAAATGTTAAGTACTTGTAAAACTACACAGTCCATTATACCAATAACATCCTATCAACATTTTCTAGAAACAAAATTAAATATAAAATGAAAAAATAGTAGAACTAAATTGAAAGTCGTTACCAGAGTAAACATTTTTTAAAACTTATTAACATCAAACCATTCTCTACTACTAAATCTGTTCTGTATCTGAGCAATTATGCTATAACCCTAATACCAAGAGTATCAAACTCCTGGGTGGAAAGAAGCAATAAATATAATGTTATTTGCTCAAAGTATCTCTCGACATTCGGAAACGCATTTCCTTTACTTATTTTAAGGAAGACAAATGTACAAGGCTCTCGTGTTCATTGATTAATATGCTTGATTGAACAGTGAGCAATCACATAATAAAGAGTTGTCAACAAGTTATAATATACCATCAATTAATAACAGCAATAAATTATATAACCCATGTATTTATTTATGGCTATCATGTTTTATATATAAAGATAAGGGTAAAGGTAGGAGAATATATCCCATAACTCACATCGTCATTGCGCTGAATTGCGTATAGGCGTGGTCCGTTACTATCAGGCCGCCGTAACATGAACCAGGTGTGTACTCGAGACTTCAATTTCAGTCTTCATTCAAGTCTATGTGAGAAGCGACTCTAACTAGCGCCGATGTTAAGGCTGTAATTAGCGGCGCCCCTGCCTTCCACTCGGCCATTCGACTTGCCAAAATGTATAAGAGTAAATTTACATTGTGATATTATTTCTTAAATTTACATCATAAAATATTGGGTGGACGAGATGTATTCTTGTTGCCATATATATAAAAATAACCAACCACTATCATTGAACAAATAGCATTGGCTAAGCTCTGTATTTCTTATAATATTGTAGAAACATTCTGCTCTGAGCCTTTATGTATACATGTCAATTTCTTCTTCCATAAGATATTGTTTAATGTCCGTTTTAATGCGAGCTTTACGTATTTTCTTACAGTTCTTTTCTTCTGAACGATTCTTGTGTAGTTGATAGAAGATAGGAATGACCAAAGGAATGAAAATAAAAGGAATAGAACTAACCTCCTCGTTCAAGCTAGTCATTGCACCAATGGATTTTAATGTATTAACTCCAATATATATTATCATTCCACATATGAATAACCTAGAAAATATACGTACAATCTCAGTGCCATATGGCATGTACTTTTGGACTATCAAATCAAAGAACTCCATTTTAATGTACGTCAGACCACCCACAGTTTTGTAAAGGGCATTACCATTTTCAGTGATGAGAAATTGCCTATCAGAGCCGTCTACAGGGCTACAAGAGGTATGATCAATTGCCGTTTCTCTTTCTGATTCATTTTGATGGTATCCGACAACTTCATCGACTAACCTTATAACCTGTCTAAGAAATTTGCTGTAACTAGCATAATATTCGGTTACAGTTGTACACATGAAGCCAGCAATGACGAATATCACCAAAACAAAATTGAAAATAGTAGCAGAGTTTATCAAAAGACCTACGAAAAAATAGTGTAAACTATCCAAAAAGTATATTAATATATTATACAATTGAAACATCAGTAATAAGTACCACAACACAGATATAATGACAAATACATACCTATTCCAACGGCTGCAAAAATCATAATATATAATACTCCAAAAACACATAGTAATAGGCATATAATGAAAGAACATCCAGAAACATTTCAGTAAAATCAAACCTATGGTTGGTATGTATGCACAATAGCCATGGGAATTGGAATACGTTTCTTCCCAAATATCACTCCAAAAATTCCAGCTAAAGAATCTGTTTTTTACTTGACTAATTATACAAATTAATTTTTTTAACTCATCCAACTGGTGTTCCTCATTGGAAAAATAATTAGGCATCTGTTTTTTTATATACTTAAGTAACGGTATATTATACTTTTTTTCTCTTTCAATAACATTATTCAAGTAATCACCTGATATATTATTATGTTGATTAGTTTTCCATTCGTACAAGTACAGTATTGACAAAGGAAGAAATAAGAAATAACAGACTACTCCATAAACAATATCCCATTTCAGGCCTTCTCTTATTTCTTTGATTATGAGATTTTCTGTGTCCAAGTGTGCTATTAATATTGGGAAAAATTGAGAAACGTAAAATAGAGATAAATAGAGAAAGCAACGAATCCAATATATTTTAGAACCTCTATTCACATCGGTCCATCCATTGCCCTGAAAAAATATCGCGTATTTGGGCCCTATAGGAAGATCTGTATCTATACTAATGTACTTATTTTTTTTAATAATTATTGGATTGTTTCGGCAAAGGGACTGTAAAAAGTAGAAAAAGATATATTGTGCTAGAATGTAGGATCCCAAGGCCAAAAGCAATATAGTAGTGTACATTGATGTTTCGGAATAATTATTTTCAGGGACAAATCGCCAACAATCAAAATACGTATTATATTTTAACTTATAGTAATTACGTAAAAAAATCCGCCAGCTATTAGACGAGAGTTTGTGCTCCAAGCAAACCGCGTAATCTGTGGGTAACCCTAAGCTCCCATTTTTTGATGAAAATCGTCCTATCGATGTTGCAATTATATCGAGTTTTTCGTCATCAGAAGCATTCAAAAAACAGAACACTGACCAAGCAACACTCAGTGAAACTGTTTCCACACCTGGGGCAAGAGTACCGAAGGAAAGATACACGGCATCAAAAGTGTATTTTGATAATAGAACCCCCTTGTGTCCATATGTTAAGACCCAATGGTTTATATCGATAATCCCACCAGTGTTATTCAGGATCTCGTCACCGGAAGAATTTACGAAGTTTATGTTCAAGTTAATGAAAACACTTCCATCTTTTTGCAAAACTTCTAGTGCCTCAGCTCCTTGGATGTCAAGAGAACAGTTGTTGTTAATTGGCAATGGTCTGTCAATGACGCCACGAGACGACACAATACATAAAAAATCGATTAATACTTCCAGCATCAACATGATGTTTACGACAATTCTTGTCATGGTGTCAATCAAGGTACTGCACTTTGTAACTGTAGATATAAAAAAACAGAGATAGTATAAGTCAATACATTTTTAAATTTAGTTAATGGTAAAACATAAAAACGGGATTTTTCATTACAAGGACGATTATTTATAGGAAATTGTAAATGCTCTGGTATATATATAAATACATATACATATATATATAGGCCTATATATATGTTAATATATATATACATATATATGTATATATATATGAATAAGACTGTCTCTTATACACATCTAGATGTGTATAAGAGACAGGATAGATAGATAGATAGAAACATATCAGTGGCGTAGCGGAGAAGGCCTGGGGAGGGGGTTCTGAGGCGTTACACCACAGTAAAGTCATTTGGTCACTAGCAGTAGCGTCTTCCACCACTAAACAACAGGGGCAGATGCAAGATTTGTTTCCAATGTAGTGGGAGGGAGAGCTGGAGGTAAGCGAGGGTGTCTTTCCGCACCTCGCTCCCACCCCACCCCCTGCAAGCAATTTTTTTGTAGGAAAGTTTGGTAAAATTTCATAACTTTACTTATACATATTTTGCGCATGCGCTACTTTCAGGTCTGTGTCAGCCCATGGTCGGCCTGATATCAGCTGCTCTGTACATTATCTCGACAGGACCTAGTTTTCAGCCCTTGTATGGGCCTTGTTTTTGAATCAATGCAAAAATAAAACCAGTGAATGAATTGATTCAGTTGATTCTGAATTTTAATTCATTAGCCTAAATTTACTATCCGGCATACAACACTTATAGGCCCTATAAACATACTTCAATAATTCAGCCTGAAACATGTGGCTATGGGTCCAAGTGGGATACTTTTCCTTCATTCATTTCTGAGAATATGCCTGCCCATTAAAGTGTGATTTAGTATTAAGAGAAAAGGTTGGATAGCAACTTGTCGGATGGAACGCATTTATAATGAAAAAAGGTCGGGGTACTAATATGAAGCGCATAGATGCCTAAATGGTATGATGAGATTTGAAGGTAATATAATATTTTCTTACTTACTATAAAATAGTTCAATTACTCTATACGACGTCCTCAGTTGTACAATTATCCGCATATAGCCTACTGAGCTCAGATCAGACGAGAACCAATAGACGCCCAAACCAAAAACTAACTTCGTGAGAGATGTGTGATTCATTTATATAGGCCTATAATATATCACTGATTTGAGATAACAATCAGTGAGTAACATGAAAGGCCTAGAATATTGGCATAATACCTTCCATCTATAAGGTTTTTGTATACGTTTACGTTTTCTTGTTTCTGCAACAAAGGTGCACATTGTTAGACAGTTATTCAGGAAGTGCACGTCAGGTAGATTTGTATTTCCATTGTATTTTTCTAAGAAAGTTTATAATAATAATTAACATGTGGTCGGTACCTTATTACAGCGACCATTTTGGATATACTTTGGTCCTAAAGTATAACAATCAATCAATCAATGGATTTATATGGCGTATAATACAGCAGTCTCTATATCATTTAGTAATACCGGTACACTTATAAAGAGTACGGTGTTTTTAGGAGTTTGGTGCTTATGCATGTTTTTGCATTCAGAAATACGGCATCATTTATTATTAGTGAAATTAACCATTCTCGACGGGGAACATAATGCATGGTCGTCATTGATAGCATATTATATGTTGTAGACAAGTCTGACTGTAGTCACATCTGTAGTATCTATGTATAGGTATATTTATTTATTTTGTTTATTTATTTTTATTATATTTTTCATAATATAGCCTTACACCTAATTCCTTAAAGTAAGTATTGTTGGCCGTTGAATCCGAAGAACTCTTTCCTCCTTTGTTCAGCTGTTCCTCCTGCTGCTGGGTTACATTCAACGTCCCACCTGATGGACTGCAGCTCGACTGAGGCTACGGTCACACTAGCGTCTCAAGCCTGGCTTGACTCACCGCGGGTGAGATTTCAAGCCAGGCTAGAAATTCAATGTAGTTTAGTGTCATACTCAGGACAATCTTTACCTATATTTCACTACACAACTAAAATAAACCTAACTTAACTATAGTAAAATTCTACAGTTTTGGAGAATTCCAAAAAAAAATTATTGGATACCATATTGGCCTGATCTTTTTACTATTTATGGTAGTAATTTGAAATGCAAGCATTTTGAATGGGTCTGAGAACAAGTTTATTGTTGTTATCTATACTTGAATAGTTATTGATATAAACCTGTAATTTATTTCGTCATTGAAAATTCAATTAAATTATACAGAGAAACAAGAACAATTATAAACCAATATGACATGATCGCTTAAAAAGTGAAATTAAATTACTGTCAGGTGGCTCTCCAAAAATGTGTATAGAAAACGACATTAAAGATTAAAAACACACACAACAATTTAAGGATTTATATTGTGTTAGATTATATAGCCACTTCTTTTAATCGTAAAATATTTAAGTAAATTTCCGAAGAATAAATTTATATTGAAAAGTAAATGTCCTTTAACTTCTGTGGGGACTTTATCCTAAATTCTTTGAAAAATCATTAAACACAGGAAATTTAAATGTGTCGGCACGGGCAAATATATGAGTAAATATTAATTCATTAGTGTCTATTAATAAACTAAATATACCAATATTATGATTTTAAATAAATATTTTGAAATAAAAATGATGGCTATGCAGTCAACTTTACTTTTTATGGGGATCATATCAAGGTGTTTTAATCTTACATATGCAAGTTGTGTATTTGTAGCGGCCTACACATACGTGATCTTCTTCTTTGGATACCTTCTAATGAATTATAGTTACCAGACTGGTTGGTGTTCTAAGCAGGCATTCTAAATTTAACAGTAGGTCTCACACTGTTAAATTATATAATTATAAATTATCAAAGAAAGGTAAATACAGTGTTCGAATAAAGGACATAATAGTACATCGTGTAGCATAGCTCTCAACGAATGTTATCCTATAAATAAATATATAAATACATAAATAAATAAATAAATAAATGCATTGAGTAATAAGATGGCTCTGACGGGATTCGCACCTGCAACCTCACGCTATAAAGGGAAGCGTCATAACCATTAGACCACAGAGGCTTTATGTTGAACGATTCAAATAGCTGCCTGGTTCGTTCCAATAAAAAAAAGGCTAGAATTAAATACTGTAGTAGCATATAATATAATTCAAGACAGTCGTTAACACTGTTAAAGTACATAAATATCATCAAATTATATATAAATCATCAAAGAAACCTTTCTTTGATGATCGCTTTAAAGAAAAGCTTTAAATTATGAGGTACGACGAATATTCCGATAATGTAAGGTATCATCTGCATACATCACAAATAAAAAGGTTAAAATGTACCGGTATCGGCCCAAGAACTGACCCTTGTGGTACCCCAGATGAAACCCTTTTACCGTCCGATGCTTCACCCCTAAATATGACAATTTGGGTTCACCTGTTCAGATATGAAAATAGCAACAGCCTATGGGTCCACATGATATACCGTATCTGTAAAGTTTTTCAATGAGAACCTAGAGGTCAACCTGGCCAAATAGAAAGACCACATCAACATGAAACAAGTTTGATTGAAATTATGGTACTTTAAAAAATATGAAAGTCGATTATGTAAAAGATAAAATAGAATTTTCTTGATTTGGCATAAGAAATGGGATATTAAAATATCATTACGATAATTAAAAACCTCATCTGAAACAAGATTTGGCACTGTATATAGTAATAACTATTTCTTACTAATACTATATTATTGTCAGCAACAACCTGTACCTGAAGTGAGTTCGAAGTTATTGTCTCATCCACACAGTATATTTCTTTACAAGTTCGTGTTGTTTACAAAAACTTCTTCTATATCTGGAACTTTCTTGGAAATATTCGCGCTTGACTGAAACTGTGATTTCTTAGTAACGATCTAGGATTAGTAATAATACAATTGATAACAATAATATTGATAGGCTTACAATAACGATATAACTGTATGTCAGGTTTTCAACCCTAAATACATTATACAAGATTTTGATTTTTTAACTGACAGTATAGGCCTACTAAATGCAGATATTTTTTGTGTAAAATGGAATCACATAATTTGTAAGAAAATCATACGAAAAACAAATATACAACCTCATTCACGTAAAATCAAGGCCATAACTTGTTTTGCTTACTTTAATTTTTTACTTAAATATATAACACGAATATTTCGTCCACTCATGCGGACTTCATCAAGTGATATCATCAGAGATAATTATCTACAAATTGTGAAAAATGGACCAAGCCAACAAATAAACGCTAGCATGGGCGGTATCGAACTTTGTACTATATATATATATATATATATACTGTCTCTTGAGGGTGTGTGTGGGTGTGTAATTCACGTCACCCTAACATTAAGTTTACTTTAGAGAAACAGATTGAACAAAACCTTCCTTTCCTGGATGTTTTAATTTCAAACTCAAAGCATGGGCTATCATGTACTTCTGTCTTCCAAAAAAGAAGAGGTTTACTGGGCTCCTTACTAATTATTTTAGTTTGTGTTCATTTAATTACAAACTTGGACTGGTCCGGACGCTCGTTGTTAATTAATTGTAGGTGGGTGGGTTTTCATGAAGATCTTACAACTTTAATATCCATCCTAAGGAAAAATAATTTCCGCTACATATCATCAATAAAATAATTTCGAAATATCTTGATGCTGTATGCTTCCCTAACAAACGTTCTAAACCCTCTAAGGCCAATATAGATGCCACACTCATCACCATTATTTATTTTAATATTCCATATATTGGCCCCTTTTCTGAGGTTGCCTTGCACAAAATTCGTTTGCTTTCCAAGCAATTGTGTAATGATTTCGAATTTAAGTTGGTTTTTGGGTGTTAATTGAAAACATTTTTCGATATCCATAATTCATTTTTCGATATCCATAAATGTCAAATAAAAATACCATTGACACCTTAAGGTGTTAATGGGATTTTTATTCAACAGTTTTGGATATCTGATTTATGGATATCTAAAATGATTTAAGGATATCCATAAATCACTTGATTTATGGATTCATACACCACTAGATTTATGGATTAATGTGTAGTTTACAAAAACTTGTTATATTTTTTGAACTTATCTATTTGTGCTTAGCTCAATCTGTGGCTTTTTCGTTAGTAACGATCTAGGCCTAGTAATAATATGATTGATAAAAATTATAATGATATGCTTACAATGATGCCTATGTCAAGTTCCCAAGCCTGAAAAACTGAATACATTTTAGTGTATTTTATACAAGATTTTTTGATTTTGTACTGTTAAAATATACTAAATGCAGCTATTATGTATAAAATGGAATCACATATTATTGTGTATAAAATTCAAACGTGGGCTCACGTCAGTATACCTTCCTAAATCGTAATAATAATAATTATTAATTACATTACATGACTTAAGTTAAACCTTTTGACGTTCTTGTCTTTAACCATAGTGATGTAAACTTGATTATATACGAATAAATAATCTTATTGTGCGCCAAAGAAATAAAAAAACAAAATATACTACCTCATTTATCACGTAAAATCTAGGGTAATAAACTTTCTTAACTTTTTTTTTTTGGCTTACTTTTAAAATTGCTTACTTTATATATTTAAGTAATCAATGCCCCTTCTATTCATATTTTTTAGACAATCGAATTACTGTAGTTGCATAAAATCTAGATCGTATGCTTACACTATACGTTATTTACACCACTATGCTTAAATCCTTAATTTGTTACCACGTAATTTATAAGTATTTTTGGAGACAATTTTGATAAAAAATACTATAAAATAACTAGGCATATCTCTAATGTGAATATACGCCTATTTTTTGTTATAACTGGTAAACATAGAATGCCCTGCATTAGTTATAATCTTAGGTCTTACAAACATCTTTCTATTAGGTTAGGAGCCCTCATGAACATCCAATCATGATTGTCATGGTAAATTAAATTGCCAATACCACGTGCGCCTAAAGTTACATACCGGTAATTCTTTTTATTTTCAGTTTTATTTTTTTTATTTCACCTAACTCATTCATGATCGTTGAGGTATACGTTAAACCAACAGGTCCCTGGTTAAACTAAATAAAGAATTACCAGACCATGTGCGCCTTAGATAACGTTGTGTCATTGGCATTACATATTTCTTTAGATATTATCGTAAGCCTTTGTGTAACAACTATTTTTTACTAATACTATTGGCGCCAATAACATGTGCCTGAAGTGTGGTCGTCGTTGTCTGAACGACACAATAACATTTCTTTAATTATAACAGGTATGTGTTACAATTATTTGCCCTTAGCTTAATCTGTGGCTTCTTCTTTAGTAACGATCTAGGCCTAGTTTAATATAAGTGATAGAAATGATAATAATAAGCTTACAAAGATAACTGTATGTCAAGTTCCCAAGCCTGAAAAAACTGAATACATTTTAGTGTAGGCCTATTATACAAGATTTTTTTTTTTATTTTGTACCGTTGAAGTATACTTACTGACTGCAGCTATTATGTATAAAATAGAATCACAGGTTTTGTATGAAATTCATATACCTTCCTAAATCGTAATTATAATTATTAATTACATTTTACAATCTAAATCAATGGGAGTTCTTGTCTGTAACCATATATCCAATAAATAATCTCATTGTGGGCCAAAGAAAAGGGAGACAAAATATACTACATTATCACGTGAAATCTAAGCTAATAAACTTTTCTTTTTTTTTTGACTTACTTTTAAAATTGTTTGCTTTATATATTTGAATAATTAATGCCCCTTCAATGTTTTTTAGAAAATTACTGTAGTTGCATAAAATCTAGATCGTATAATTTATTTACACCTCTATGCATGAACCCTTAAACTACCAGGTAGTTTAAGAATATTTTTTATAACAATTTTGGGAATTACGCTACATGTTACATATTTTGAAAACCATGGCAGAGTCGTTCGCCACTGTCAAAAGACCCTGGAGCGGATGCAGGGGGATGCAGAGGGTGCGGTCGCACCCCCCTAAATTCTATTAAGAAAAATAATTGTATTATATTGTTGATATGAATTATTGGTAAGGTTTTTAAGGTATGAGATTGCAATTTCCTGGCACCCAGAGCTCCATATTCTCAAACTTTTCGTGCCTCAGCCCCAATCATATTGAGGCTGAGGTGAAGTGGATTCTTCACGGACCCATGGGCGCAGATCATTGGGGAAGGGGAACAGGGGAAGGGGAACAAGTCCCGTCCCCCCCCCCCCCCCCACATATTTTTAAGGTGAACGGGTTGGTCCCCCTCACTTTTTGGGAATCTAGAAGATATGCCTGAAAATTGTTGAAATAAACTGCATAATTGACTCAGGTTTTAAAGAAAGAGCGCGGGCCTACAGCCAGAGTACATCTTATTTTATAGCAACATACACGATTCGAGTGCGCGTGAATTTATTATAATTTGAGAAGTATGAAAAAAAGCGTGCAAAGATAAAATTGTTGTGGCTGAGGTGAATGTGGCCACACAGCTTTGAGGTAGGTCAAATTAATTACATCAAAAAATTAAATACATCAAAGAAAGTGTTTCTTTAGTTTTTTGTTTTTTGGGGGGTTTTTTTCTATGGTGCATCACTCATTATTTTTTGATCTCTATGGTTGACGAAAATTAAGGAATAAAAATCATGATAAATTTGCTGGCGCTTCATCTAGACATGAATGTGTGATGATGATGAATTTCACAATATGAAAGTGTCATTTCCGGCCATCTAAAGGTACTATTTCCTCAAATTTTCTCATCCACCTCAGCCCCAACCATGGTTTTAGTCAGTGGCGTAACAGGCGGGTGGCAAGGGGGACAGACTGCTGCCCCTGACGGTTTTTACCGGGCTTACCAACCCGTCGTACCGGGCTGGGTAATAAGAGAAAAGAAAGAGGGAGAGGGAGGGAATGAGAAAGAAGGGGAAAAGAAAAGAAGGAAAAGGGAGAAGAAAAAGAGAAGAGAAAAATAAAGACAAGAATAAAAAGGAAGATATAATTAATAGACTCACAACACCCTGCAACCCCTTCTCCACTTCAAAAATTGTCCATAGCTCCTTTGATCTAAGCTGCCAGATATTCTCCGCGGTGGCGTAACCACTGGGGGACAAAGTAGACCCATTTTCTCTAAAATTGCACATTTTAGGGAGTTTCCGACAAAATTCCGACAAAATTAGAATTAAAAACAATTTTTGGAATTTTGTAGGGTTGCCTTAGTTATTGAAAAACATATTTTTTAGGGTGAGAACTTGTGCTTGTCCTCCTTTGTCTTCTAAGTTAATTGAACACATAATAGTCCTAACTCAAATAGAAAGAACATTTGAGATAGATCGTTTTACCTAAAAGAATGGCCTCAATGTGTAGTGATGGTGTTTCAAACACGTGTGTGGCCTAAATTAGAAATAAGATAAGCCCTATGTCGTATTGTTTTCTATAAGGGGGGGGGGGGTATGATAAATTACTAACCGGGAAAATTATTACCTCTTGATTTTTTTGTTTATTCAAGGGGAAATTATTCCGCAAATGTTCTATGTTCAGTTTCCAATAATTGACAGCAAATAACTTTGAAAGCAAATAATTAATTCAAACTTCTTTCAAACTTCATTCAAATTCAAATTTACTTCATCAATACTTATCTCTTAGGCTATTCTTTATTACTGTCT